CGCTCCGAACTCGCGCAGGCAAAAGATAGCACTTGTTGGTCTCGATCCAACGACCTTTGGGTTATGAGCCCAACACGCTTCCTCTGCGCCAAAGTGCTAGCTCAAACACACACACACACACCGACACACAAAAACGCGCAAAATCAAACCAATCGCAAACACTCACAACCGCGCGCGCGCGCTCGCCACAGACAGACCGTCCACGCCTCGTACGGCCGTCTCAAACCGCAGATATGCCGCGGCGAACATCTCGCAGCGTCCACGACTCACAACGTGATGTTCACATTGTAGGCGCTTGCCGCTGCTTTCAGGCAAACTCCGCAGTCCTACAACCCGGCAGTACACCACTAAACACCGTTCACGCGCTCCAGGCCACGACTACGCCGGGCTGGGGAGCCGGTCGTCTCCGCAATGTGGTCGTGGCGGGACTTGATCCAGAGACGTCGAGGCAATCATTTGCGCAATCGCTGCGGCCGCCAGACGCGCAATCGGAGTGGGAAAAGGCTGACACGCGCCGCAAAACAGCGCAGAACAGGTAGACGGCGCCAGAAGCGGCAAAACGCGAGGATGCCCGCTCCGAACTCGCGCAGGCAAAAGATAGCACTTGTTGGTCTCGATCCAACGACCTTTGGGTTATGAGCCCAACACGCTTCCTCTGCGCCAAAGTGCTAGCTCAAACACACACACACACACCGACACACAAAAACGCGCAAAATCAAACCAATCGCAAACACTCACAACCGCGCGCGCGCGCTCGCCACAGACAGACCGTCCACGCCTCGTACGGCCGTCTCAAACCGCAGATATGCCGCGGCGAACATCTCGCAGCGTCCACGACTCACAACGTGATGTTCACATTGTAGGCGCTTGCCGCTGCTTTCAGGCAAACTCCGCAGTCCTACAACCCGGCAGTACACCACTAAACACCGTTCACGCGCTCCAGGCCACGACTACGCCGGGCTGGGGAGCCGGTCGTCTCCGCAATGTGGTCGTGGCGGGACTTGATCCAGAGACGTCGAGGCAATCATTTGCGCAATCGCTGCGGCCGCCAGACGCGCAATCGGAGTGGGAAAAGGCTGACACGCGCCGCAAAACAGCGCAGAACAGGTAGACGGCGCCAGAAGCGGCAAAACGCGAGGATGCCGGCTGACTTGGAGTTTATTGAACGAACGCAAAAAGAAACCACGCGTCTTGTGACAGCTTGAGACAGCTGGGGCTGATTGGAGGCTCTCGGGCTCGATGCTGCAGCATGATAGGGGCTGTAGGAGGGTGACCTTCGCAACGCTGAACTGGCTGGTGGTCGCGTTGTCCTCATCTCCAACCGTGGAGTGCGCGCAGCTAGTTGCGACTCTGATGATGCCATTGCAGGTATGGGTAGAATGTGACTAGTGCCGTCCTGTGCAGCCATAGTGGTGGCGTCGAATGGAACTGATGTCGCGCAGCTTGTCGGAGAGGGGGGAAGGAGTCTTGAGATCCTTCTTGCAGATCCTGTTCTGACTTTTAGACCGTTTTGGACGCTTTGGGTAGTTCTATATATATTTAGAGCGTTTTGGATATTCTTTACTCATCCAATTCAAAACCATCACAACTCAGACAAGTGTTGTTCCCAAGCTTCCTTTCGCCCGTGATGGGAAACGGAATCGTCGCGCTGTCCTTTACGTGGACCGCGTAGCAATCTTTGCATACGATTCACCACATCGTTATGTTGGAAAAATTCTACAGATACCAAAAATGCTGTAAGCTGCACATGTATTTATTTTAGTACCAGGAGGTGTGGAATTGACAACTATAATCTGGGACATTTCCCCCCAATATACACTCCAAGATGGGATTTCGACAATTTCAAAATGTCGAAATCTTCGGACCATCTCTTCGGACCATCCATTTCTCAAGTGCTGGGTCGGAAACGGAATGGTATGCTAAGCTGAGCTGTTGCGTACGCGTGCCTTCCTATATGCAAACTAACTGTCGGTGCTTAGGGACCTGAACTACGGTCTAGCGCAGACAGGAGATAGCGGCAGCTACAGCCCGAAGAGCTTAGAGAAGGCGTGCCTTCGATCTGGTTCACGAGGCCATGAGCGAGGAAACGGTGAAGGAGTACGTCAAACAAAAGCGTACCGAGTACACCGGGAATCACCCTACTTTGACTGTGGCGCAACCTGTTTCCAAGGCTAGCAACATACGCTAGCGAGTCTGTCGACATGGGATCTTCACGGAGCATGACGTGGAGAATGGTGACACGGTGTTTATGGAGATGGAAGGCCATGCGTCCGTGGAGAACGTACGTGGGGGTGATTCCCCAGATGATACCTACATTCAATCGGACTCTTCAAATGGCGACGATTCAGATGGTTGTACTGACGAAGCACGACAGTTTTTTGGCTTAGACGGCTCGTCGTCTGAGGACATGCACACTCTAGTCAACAACGAGACCAATTCTGTTGCCGAGATACCGAAAAATATTGATGATGCCTTTGAAACTGCTTCCAATGCGTGCTACGGAGTTTTTCTCGGGTTTCCGTCTCGTTTGTGGCCATGTCAACGTTTCGACAAACCTTCGCCGATAGGACGAAGCAGCGCTTCATTGGTCGCTCGTCCCAAACGGTTCGGCGATGCAACAAGTCAATGACCAACAAGTCAGGTAACTTTCCGAGCAAGTGGAATCATTACTCCAATACATTGCTCTTCACGCACGGACTAAAATAGCGAGCCTGAGGAACTGGAGTCCGCTGCCACAAATCTGTACGGTACACCGGATGCGAGGTCAAAGTTGCTTTCAAAGTTGGGTTCAAGATACTACATCTACGTCCGCACCAGTGGACGGCACAATCACAACCTCAGCGAAGAACTGTGGAACTACTACTCCGGTAATAGGACGATCCAGGCCCCTGGTTTGTTCGGTACTGTGTCAGATCTTCATGCGATAGGTTCTTAACCCAAGGAAATCCTTCGCTGGATTCGCCTGAAGACCGGTAAGTGATCATGCTGAAAGTATTTTGTAGAACCAACCTAACCGAGTTGTGGTGGGTTGTATGCAGCATGTAGATAAGAAAACCAAGCTGAAAGACGTGCACAACATACTCCAGGAATTATAAAAGGCATTCAAAGTCAACACTAGCAAAGCGAGCGGAGATTATTTTGGAAGAATTCACAAGCCAAGATAATGGAAACACGGCTCGAATATTCGTTGACAACGGTACAGGGGTCGCCGTCGCGGTGGTTTTTCAGTTCACAACAATGAAGTGACTCTTTGCCGCTTTCCCAGAGGTTCTGATGGTAGACAATACCCATGACACAAACACAAACGCGTTCAGCTTTGTTGTTCACGACTGTTTGAGGAAGGGTAAAAACCAATTTTATTATTACTCCTGCGGATTAGGAGATTAAAATGAACTCTGCACTGTTGTGCTATCCAGAGGCAGTATGTGCATCAGGCTCTTGTCGAGTGCGAGACAAAGATAACCTTCGGCTTGTGCTTAGTGCTTTCAAGGCGAACAACCCTGCATTAAGGTGGTGATGACAGACAAAGCTATCCATCAGAAGGGCATATTAGCATAAGTGTTCACATACCTCCTTAGACTGTGTCGACCTTACCATAGTCGTCCGCGGCGATTTTCGCTGCTATGTGTGCAGTTGTTCGCTCTCGGCGCTTCTTCTCGGTCTCTGCAGTCTTCTCCCTCATCGCCGCATGTCGAGGCTGCGTAGAGGTTATCGTTGACAAACTATTTGAGCACATAGTAGTAGTGATCTTAGCATTCATGCCGGATTCGGACTGGAGGCCTGCGTGATAGTTTCGTATGTTGTGTGGCTGGCTGCTCGCGCGCTTGTTTGGGCCTTCTTGACCGGCCGGTCAGACCCCGCCGCTGCGGCGGACATCGTACGGTAGTGAACAGCGACACCTGCTGTTCTTCCTTGGTCATCACTCGCAGCGACGCGACCCGCTGCGTTAGATGCGCACGCTCACTACTTGCTGCAGCACGTCACGCCTCCGGTCACTGCACCTCACTCGCGAGGTGACCCCCCCCCCCGCGCACCAACTCAGTCAGCCCAGACGCGGAGCCGCTGCTGGCTTTGCCGTCGCCGCCTGAGTCGTGTGCGCCTCCCGTGCCGCCGGCCACCGCAGGGGCAGCTGCAGTCTGACCAGGGGCGCCTGCGCCAGTGTCACCCTCCATCTCCGTCGCTAGCCTTCATCCAGGTGTTCTTTGGAGGGGGGGGGGTGCTGTTTTCATTTGCCGTTTTCTCGATAGCTCTGAAACCACCCAATTTCACCTCGCCCAACTCCAGAGGCCTCTAGCAAAAAACCTAAAAAAAGCCGTAAATGATACTGTTGAAAAAAGGTCCCTCATATGCTATGTTCGCGAAATGTCATCCAATTACTTATGGCCTCCCAAAACTGGCGGGCGACGGGGCGGGTGGTTAAGCCGCACTTCTCGATTTTCCAAGACCAACAAGATGCCGAAAACTGCCGCTCAAGTCGTCGGCCGCCTCAACCGCCAATGGGAGGACGATGTCGCCAACCTTGCCTCCAGTCATGAAAATTTGGGCGACGTCGCCCGCCACGTTGAGGAAGAAGCGTCCCAATCCCCCATCCTGGCTGGATTGGAAACAGCTTTCCTCTACAAATGATTTTTAAGCCGTAAATGTAGCAAGGTTTTTCATGGGATCGTTCTTATCCCAGCAGTAACGGGCAAGTCAGCGAGATTCAGATCAGCTGGAAATAACGCTGCTAATGTGGCATACTGGCATCTGCTAGTAAAACAACGATAGTCCATTAAAAAACCCGGTAAATATCGCGTCCATGTATCCAAAACATGAATTACCCAGATACTGGGACATGTGCTGCCCATGTCTCGAAATAGTTTACACACCACTGTGAAATACCATTCACATCATTTTCTACACGTCTACCTGTCTCTACTCGGATCAGTAGGATAAGAACAGGATCGGTTGGATTCGAACCATTCCCGCTTTCACCGCCATCCAAGCACACACGGCCCCCCACAGACACGCGGATCGCCCCCCCGCTGCTTCTCAGGCGCCGCACGAAGCCCCAAACTCGTTCTGCGCGTGCTTCCAGCCTGTGGACGCGAGGGCTTTCTGTGAGGGTACGTAACGTATGCGAGCGTACGCGCTGGAACGTTTAACCAACGTGTTCGTCTACGTGATGCAGAACCTCTCCCCCTCTCCTTCGCCGTCGCAGTGCGCGTCTCCGGCGCCACGTGCAGCCCCAACTCGTCATTGTATCTACTACAAGCCTGTGGACGCGAGAGCTATCCGTGTGGGTACGTAGCGTATGCGAGGGTACGCCCTGGAACGTTTAACCAACGTGTTCGTCTATGTGATGCAGAACCTGTCCCGTTGGATGTTCGGGATTGCTTCGACGTACACCTGCGCTTGATTCACGCTCTAAGGTGCGACGTAGAGGTGATCGAGAAGACGCTAGACCCACATGCTAAGATTGCGGTTATGTCTATGTTTCGTCCATGTTTTCCATGTTTTGGTTGTGGCAGGCGACTTTGTCATGGCTCGCTCACGAAAGACTGCTGCTATTATGAAGAGGATGAAAGATCAAGAGGAAGAAGAGAGAGCGGTAGTGGCTACGCAACAGCGAACTGCCGACGCTGATCAGGAACAAGAGAATGCGAACGAAGCTGAAGAGAATGAGGAAGC